CTGATTAGGTTTTACTCTGTCATCTTTTGTTTTGATTGATTTATTGCCCTTCTACCCGTGTCATTTGTCATCTCACCATGCAGAATGTGCATCCCTGCAAAGTATCCCTCGTGGCAGATGGTACTGCACGTACTGTCAAAATATGTTCCTGAGGGAGAGATTTGTTGAACACAATGCCAATGCTGTTGCAGCTGGAAGAGTATCAGGTATCAATCCGATAGAGCAGATAACGAACCGTTGCATCCGTATTGTTAAGAACCCTGAAGAAGCTGAAGTGATAGCATGTGTAATTTGCAGGTATTATTTAAATTTAAAAATTATAAAAAACTCATTGTTTTCCATCTATCTGTGATGTTATTTTGATTTAACATTGGATAGATATCACCCTAGTTAATATTGTCGTATGTTATTACGTGAACTTGTTTTCTATGCAGGGGCTATGACTTTAGTAAATCTGGTTTTGGTCCACGCACTGTTATACTGTGTGATCAGGTACTCTTTTCTCGTCGTTACTTTTCTTTTTAACGAAGTGGCATAGATTTGGAGAACCACACTAAATATTTACCCCCTTTTTCTAGTGTGAGAAAGAATATCATGTGGGCTGTCTGAAAAAATGCAAGATGGCTGATCTAAAGGTGTGCAAGTATGCAATTAAAGTAACTTTTCCTTGTTTAATATAGATGAGCTACTAATCATCTTTCTGGATCTGAAATTGATGCACCTTTGTGACAGGAACTCCCGAAAGGAAAATGGTTCTGTTCTGTGGATTGCAAGAGGATTTATTCTGCATTGCAGGATTTGTTGAATGCTGGGGAAGAGAAACTTCCTGACCCTTCCTTGGATGTTATAAAGAAGAAGCATGAGGGAAAATGTTCTGGTGCTGGTGATGACTTTGATGTGAGATGGAGGCTTTTGAATGGGAAAATTGCTTCTCGTGAAACCAGAGTGTTGCTGTCACAGGCTGTAGCTATATTTCATGTAGGCATTGACACGCCATATTTTGATGTTTATGCATACATTTTTATGAGCTTGTCCAAGTATTTAGTTAAATTAAATCAAACTTGCACAAGTTATGAAATGGTGGCAGCACTAATATTGCACAGATTCAGGATATTGGTAAGTATGTATTCGAAATCGTTTGTCCAGATGTTGATGCACATATGTACGAGACTTTCAGCTGTCAAATGGGGTTCTGAAAATGGTTCAAGTTTTTCCCTACTTCCCATGATTTCGAATTCATTTTCCTCTCATTGGAACCCTACTGCTTTTGCATCCATATATTTTGATGAAAACATTTTTTTTTTTGCTGATTTAAGTTGATAATGTTAATTCTGACTTGACCTTATTTACATTGTTTGTAGTTCTAGCTTGGAATTCATCCTAATGAGCTTTTTTCTTTTACTCTGGAATCTCTCAAGTGATTTTGGCATTATTGAATTGTTTGACTTGTCTTTCAGGATTGTTTTGACCCAATTGTTGACTCAGAAACTGGACGTGACTTCATTCCATCTATGGTTTATGGGTAAGCATGAATTCTTCTGCAGTTTGTCAAGCACGGCGGTTTTCTTGCCTATGTTGTTCCATCATGATTTCTTACTCTCTCTCAGAAGGAATATAAGGGGACAAGACTTTGGTGGAATGTATTGTGCAATATTGACAGTGAAGTAAGAAACATTTTTCCAAACCATGCTATATAATTTTTATGTTGCTGAGTATGTTCTCTGTTAACCAGTTTATTTTTCTGATCTTGTAGCTCAACAGTTGTATCGGCAGGAATCCTTAGGATTTTCGGTCAAGAAATAGCTGAACTCCCTTTAGTTGCAACACGCCTTGGTAATCATGGGAAGGTAAGCTATTTTGTGGCTCATCGAGGATACTCGTTATGATGTAATTAAATTATACGAGAGTCTTGACTTTTGAAATAGAAACTAAAACCAAGTAATCACTGCTTTATGAGAAGATCACAGATTGCATGTTTTATTGATAATTATTTGCTGCAAATTCACAGTTCCTCATAAATGATGAAGAATGGAAGTCATTTTTTATGCACATTTTTTTTCTTTAATGGATCTAGTTATCTGGGAATTTGTGCTTATTTTCTTCTTCTTCTTCTTCTTCTTCTTCTTCTTTTTTTTTTTTTTGACCTTGTCCTGTTCTTAATAGCCTTTTTACTTTTTTTGACATCTTAAGAGATTTCTAGATTTCTCATAGCTATGTAATTTTTTATGTAACAGATTTTTGGCTCATGCAGCTGATTTTAAAGATTTATGAGCGTATATCAAATATCAGTGCTTGCTGGCCACAGCAAAGCACTCGTTCTTCCCTATCTTGAATATTGAGGGCTCTTTTATTGGTCTCAAATTGAATTTATTTTGCCTCATGAAGCTATTCACAAAGAATAAAGAAAGCCTGAAGACTTTTTATTATTAATTTCATAATAGAGTAGAAGGGCTGTAGAAAAAAATTAACAAGCCCACCTCTTTATGACTATCTTTTATTTATTTTTCTATGCCGTCAATTTACCTACCTGGCAAGTATGAGAGCAGACTAAATTCGCGTTTTTCCTTTGTGTGCTCTTCCTACATGTGGAAGGCCTTGTCTTGGAAATATGATGTTGATTCACGTTAAAATGTACCATCTGTTGAGCACGGGCTGCGACTAAGAAGAAGGTTGAAAATGGATAATACTGTGTTGAAAATTTTAGCAGATAAAGTGTGGTGAAGAAATAGTAAATATCTTAGAAAAAATCTTTTTAAGTATATGCAAGCCTCCCCAATTTTGCTAATATTGTGCACTAGGTTATGCTTCTCAGTCAGCTTCTCATGTGATGAAATTTCTGTGATAATTGTCAATTTCATTTTTAAAATTTGCTGCTGCCATCTTCCGTCTGTGAAGCATCCGTTCTGCATCTTTCTTACCCATTTGTGCAGGGATACTTCCAAACCCTGTTCTCCTGCATCCAGAATTTACTCTCTTTTTTGAACGTTAGAAGCTTTGTTCTTCCGGCTGCAGACGAGGCAAAGTCAATATGGACAGAGAAGTTCGGATTCAAAAATATACCACCAGAACAGGTGTGTGAATGTGGATATTAAACAGCAACCTGTCCCGCCCCTTACCCCTTTCAGTTCCAAAAGAAGGGGAAACTAAAAGCACAACAATAATTAAAGCAGTTTTCACTTATTTGATCTGTTACTCATAATTTATCATTTTGTCTTGCAGCTTTTTAATTATAGAAGGATATGTTGGCAAATGATAAGCTTCAAGGGAACATCTATGTTAGAAAAATCAGTTCCAAAATGTCTTGGTATAAATCAAGATGAAGCTGATTCTGAAATGTACATGCGGTGATTAGCCAAATGAAGCCATTTTCTTTGCGGCTTTATAGGCTGATGTAAATGGGTTTTTTATTTGTTTACATCTGTACAAGCTTTGAGGGCTGAATGGGAAGTTGTGGATTAGCGGTAGATGGTAGCAGAAAAGGAATAGGGAACACCTTGAGGTTTTTCATATTGCTGGAAAATGGCTGTGAATTGTAAAAAGTTCAGTAGCTTATTATTGGCATAATTTAGGGCAAGGTTTTCAATCTGTTATTTTCCATTTTCGGTATTTATTTTTCTTGTAAATAATTATTTTGAAGAAACCCACTTCTGTTACTGAGGTACTTGTTTACTCTGTATTTTCTTTTGAACTTGAATGTGTATATGCTATATAAGATCGATATAGACTACATGACAACTGATGTTATTAGTACAATCTTTATGGCCACCTCGAGAAGCAGCTTTTTCTGTTATTTACTTTTATGAGAAATTCTCTTGAACCTGTAAGATGGTAGATAATGATCGAGGATGTTCATGTGAAGTGTGAGTTGTATGAATCTACAATAAGCTTATCGATTACTCTTGACACAAAAATGATTTCTTGCTACTTGGTAACATTGATGACTGATGAACATTTTGTAATAATTCGTACTTTTGATGGGTTTCGGAAAAAAGTCATCACTGGTATCTAGTTTGCAATAATGTACCCGTACCAAACTCGTCCTAAATGTTTGTCTGAATGAGCTTGTAAATGTACTAAGGGTCCGTTTGATTGCAAAGTTGGAAAATGGGTGGAAAGAAAATGTTTTACAGGGAATTGATTTTCCTAGAAAATGTTTTACTGGGAATTGTAATTAATTGTGTTTGATTGGTATAATTTTCCATGGAAAATGTTGAAAGTTTGGTATCCATTTGGCTTCTTTTTTTATGGAATTTGTCCATTAAAGTGATAATTTTTTCTACCATTGGGTCTAAAATTTGTTCCAATTGTAAAAAAAAATTTGAAAAAAAAAATTGAAAAAAAAAAAATTTACCATACCGAATATCATTCGTTTGACTTTGTTTTGCATGGAAGTTGTCAATAAAAGTGAAATTTTTTTTTACCATTGTATCTAGAATTTGTTTACATTGCAAAAAAGAAAAAAAAAAAAAAAAAAAAAAAAAAATGGTGGAAAATGTTTTCCCACCAAATAGGTGAGAAAACAAAATCAAGTTTTTGTGCATCAAATGATTGTACCTAGAAAAAGGTGGAAAACCAATTCCAAGGAAAAAAAGTGCAATCAAACACGACAAAAGTAGGAAACGGAATTTCAATTCCAACTTCCATGGAAAATAAAGGGCTATCAAACAGGCCCTAATTGATACTTTGTACATTAGAGGAAACAATTGAGAGAATCGTAGAGCAATCCTTCCACGCTGGGGATTAAGTTTTAGGAACATGTACATTTTCTTTTCATAGGCCAGATGCAAGCGATTCTACTTGTCTCTCAATTGTTTCCTCTAATGTACAAAGTATCTATTAGCACCCCACACTGTAGTCTTACAAAACACGTCCTAAATGTATGTCTGAGCGAGCTTGTAAATGTACTAATGGATACTTTGTACATTAGACTAAACAATTGAGAGACAAGTAGAATTGCTTGCATCTGGTCTATGAAAAGAAATTGTATATGTTCGTAAAACTTAATCCCCAGTGTGGAAGGATTGCTCTACGATGTCCTGAATTAGAACTGATATATTGGAGTGTGCAGCTCCACCAGATTCCATTGCACTCCGTGAGATTGTCTTCAGATCTCTGGCTCTGTTTCTTCTCTTTTCACCTTCGTCCGCTTCATCCATAAGCTGTTCTACAGCACTTTTAATTTGGTCTTTCTTCACGAGCACGCCAACTTTCTCCTCGTCTCCCCATCTAACTGGGAGCTCGACTCCTACTCGAACACCAATCCTCAGAATTTCCACAATAAATTTCTCATTGAAGAATTGTTCTGCAAACATAGGCCATGTTATCATTGGCACTCCAGAGCACACCCCTTCTATTGTTGAGTTCCAACCACAGTGTGTTATGAACCCTTTTACTGCAGGATGGGATAAGATAAGAATTTGAGGGGCCCAACCTTTGATCAAAAGTCCCCTCCCTTCAATCCTCTCCTCAAATTTCTCCTCCAATAACCATTTCTCTAACTCCGGAAATCTTTCTCCTGTTTTTATAACCCAAATAAATGGACGTTTTGATGCTTCCAAACCTAGTCCGAGTTCTATTAGTTGCGCTGGAACTAGACGACACTGGCTGCCAAGGCACACGTAAAGAACAGACTCCGTTTTCTTGGAATCAAGCCATTCCAACAACTTTGCTTCATCTGTTGAAGCTTTATTCCCTCTCTCAAACTTGTCCAAGGTATCCCTATTGCATAGAGAAACCGGACCAATACACCATACCTTTTTGTTGATAGCCTTACTGTATTCTTCCACGCAACCATGCTCCAATTCTTGGAAAGTATTCACCACCACCCCATAAGCACTCGATTCAGCCTCTTGCATTTCGTCCCTAATATCATCCAAATCCGGCAAAGTGACAAATGCTCCAGGTAACTGAGCTTTTGCTATTTCAACCCGCATGGGAATTCCAGGAATCACAAAGGGTTCTAAATCAGATTTTACAGAAAGATGAGGTTTGTACAATTTCACATAATGGGAACTTAGGAGTGAAAAGCAGCACATCCCATGAAAAACGAGCCGGGGTACCTTAAATTTTTTGGCCATTTGAGATGTCCAAGAAAGGCTCTTATCAGAAATTATGCAACTTGGTGGAAGATCGTGTTGCAGTAAGTGCTGTTCCAATGGATGTTGTAGCTTATTCAGTCCACGGAAGAAATTCCTTATGAGGTTCCTCGAGGGGACGCTGTCAAGATTCTCACACCCTAGTGGCAATCCTACTTCTTCACAGGGAAATGGAATTTCTATTAGATTAACATGCAACCCAGTAGCTTGAGCGCGGTGAATACTACTGGCAAACCTGTACGCGTTGTGTGGGGTGGTGACTAAGCTTGAGACCACTCCATGCTCAGCTAATAACCTGGCCATATCTATCATGGGGATCATGTGACCTTGAGCCAATAATGGGACGAACACAAAGTGAAGTCTCCGTGGATTAGCTGCCATGGTTTCGGATAATTTTCTGGGATAAATTTTCCGGACAGGGAGTAGAGAAAAACATATACTTAACCGAGATCTAAGGATTTTGCATTTCTAGAGTCTCTTGAAGTCTTTTTAAAGTTAGATTGATTGGTTCAAAATTTGGATTTTCGCAAGTGTAGACACTTTGTAGTGGAGCCACAATTGGTGCACTTTGCTGCCATTTGACGGCATGGTTTGAGTGAAGTTTGATCGAGTCAAGTCAACGTGCATACTTGGACGAATTCTGCACAAACTGTGATCAGTTGTCCGACTCACGATTTCATTGATTTGAGACAAAACTTACTAAAGACCGAGTCAATTGAATGGGAAAAGCCCAAGGTTTTCTACCCACTTATGAATTATTTTAAGAAATTTTTGTAGGACGGCGTTGTACTTTTTCGAAATATGTGTTGTAATGTTCAGCTGCAATGGTGAGAAAAGTATATTCATCAATTTGAACTAAATTGAAGAGTTCAAACAATGATTAGCGGCAGAATACAAAGAAAGTCAATCATGGTTCACCTATTGGCTATTGAGTCTTTTATTTTGTATGGATTAAAAACAGTTCTAGCCCAACAAAAACGGCAATTTGATATGTGGAGCAAACTTGTGGGGGATGGATATGTTGGTTAATGACTAATACATGGTGGCATACCCCATCCACTATCAAAATGGATTGATAGTGGGGCATGTTGATTGTTGTGTCTTAACCCACTTTATACATATAATGTTATTGAATCATTGATGTTTAGTAACAGGTGTATGCGATAGCATGGTACCATCACATTTTTCAATAAAGTTTAATACATTTTATGCTTTGGACAATATGATGACGACTTCACTATCATATAAACTAATATTAAACACCACAAGGGTCACATTATATAGATATCATTAAGGGGCTCTATCCAATATCTATTATTCTATTTGGAATAATAAAGTGAATTTAAAATTGTGGAATTTGGTTTGGATGGAAAGGAGTGTGAGAAATATCGTTTTGTTTCTTTCTTTCTTTATTCCTTTTCTTGTTTTGGATTACCATTACAATCATGTTTGGTGTACAGCATGAATGATAACTTTATTTACGAAATGCTACATGGCATTATGTCATTGGACAATGGACAATTTAAACAAAAAGTTATTTTTGCAGCCAACTATTTTTTGCCAACACATTACATTGTCATCAACATTGTTATCCTATGTTGTACAAATGACAAAATCCTTACTATTATGTTGGGAGAGTGTTGTAGAAGTTGAAGGTTAGAAATTCAAATGATAAGAAAAATAATTGAGATTTTTTATTCTATAGTTAAGGAACTCATGTAGCTATATTTAGCTCCTGTTTAGTAGCAAAAATTTGATCGTTTGATTTCCCTCAAGTGAACGGGATCGTGAACAAGTAATAAAATGATGAATAAAGTATCGAACACACGATGACTATGTATTTGATCGGGTTAAAATTAATTGTAATTTTAATTGAATAGCAAATAAATTTTGAATTTTCTATATTAATATCTATATTATCAATTAAACCAATGAAAGTAAGCAAATGTGTTTTACAAATATTTGAGATGCATTTCAAAGTGATAGTTTGAAATCATTTATGTTGGTCAATGTTCCTAATTTAATTGAAGGTCTCTCTTGATAGCGATCAAATATATTCCCTTAATGTGACCTTTTATCTCTCGATGAAAAATGCAAACATGATAAATGCATTAACAAGTACTAGAACGCTTATTGAAACCATATAAAGTATAGAGGTATATCTTTATCCTCTATCGAACCTTACAATGTTTATTATAATGTACGTCAACCTTATTGTTTCTCTCGATAACAATAAAATCCATTAAAAATTCAATTGTTGATCAAGCAATTGAAAAGAACGATAAAAACGATAATAAACATCCACAAATAAAATCAAATTAAAGTCAAAATAATTAATTAAAAACTAAAAATATTATAACAATGGTTCATCTCATTCTAACAATATATAAAATTACCCTAACATATTGAAATTATAAGAAATTATATTTAAGTGAAATACATAACTCGGATTTTCGATAAACTGAGAAGATGAAGATGAAGATGAATCTTGAAATGTTGAATATCTTCAATGGTTTCTTGATGAATCTCACTTGTGCCTCCTTTTCTTTACCTAAAATTAGGTTTGAATCTTCACTTGATTGAATTCTTGCAAATCTTCTTCAATTCTCTCACAAAAACTATGAATTCTCCTCCTTTAATGATAATAATTGATGAATAGTGGAGTATAATTGATTGAAAATCACGTCCAAATTGACTTTCAAAAGAATTTTAATCGAATAAGGAAAGTCATCTTTCTCTGCACAGTATTCAATATTTTGACCATAACTTTATCTCCAGATATCCGATTGATATAATTCAAAGTGAGTTCGAAATATAACTCAAAGGGCTACAAGTTTTGTAGAAGAGACTTTCCAATTCGGACGTTTACTATGCCAAAAAAAGGTCTCAATCTTTGACTAAAAATCTGGAATATAACTTGTGCGATTGAAAATTGATTTTAATCATATTCCATTCCTTTTTGAGTTTTAATTCCATTCAATTGTCTTCTAAAAATCTTCAAAGTAGCATCTTGATTCTTGTGTTCCGAATTAACTATTGAATTTGTAATTTGGTCATCAAACTTTGGATTTTATCATTGTTTTACCAATTTTCACTTCTTTATTTCTATTCCTTATTCAACCATTGAGTTTTACCTATATAACATAAAATACAACAATTTAGGATATATTTTGTCAAAAGAACTATCAAATATCGCTATTTTATACCACAAATAAGTGTATAAATTACACTTATCAAATACCCCAAAACTTAAACATTTATTTGTTTTCAAACAAAATTATAACCTAAATAATAACAAGCATGCAAAACTATTTAGTTAGACAATCTAGTTTTTTATTTTAGTATTTGAAATTATAGTACTAAATCTACAAACTGTTTCAAAGTCATAATACCAAACCGACATCGACTCTTCCAATGCAAAACTGACATGTGTGGGAAGAATTAAGTAGACAATCATAAATTTACAAGTTGCTTCAATTCCCGACCCTTTGTGGTCAAATATTTCCTTTCACCTCTCGTATGATTCACAAATCCCCAAACTTTTTCTTTTTTCACTCTTTTTTTAGTGTGTAATCTAAGGTTAAATTTTTCATTAATATCCACACCATCTCTAGTTTAGTTAGAATCTACTAATTGTAAGTCAACACATCAATAAATAAGGATTCTCCAATTATTTGATTGTTTCGACCTCTAAGACTAGATTAGGCTAATAATCCCTCATCAAAAGTCAAGTCTTCTCAAATAAGTGTTTAGGGCTTAACCGGAGCATTTGATGCGTTTTCTGTTTTATGCACCTGTTTTTTTCTTGCGCACTCTCTCCCTTAAGCTTTCTATATGACCTATGTAACAAGCTTTTGGCCGATAACTTCCAAATCGGATGATTTTAGGGCACCAAATTTTAAATACCCTAGAAGGCTTAATAACTCGAGTCATAAAGGTTACAAAGATATGTCTTTTTATATATTCTTCTACCATAATTAGTGCAATGCTGCTCATTAAACACTTATCTAATCAAACTGATATCTAACTTAAGATTTTTGCCCAATTTTATCCTATTAATCTAAAACAATTCACACATAAGTTTTCACACATGAAATTCTTGTCCACGTCCTTATCTTCCTACAACATCAAAATCAACCACAAACTATGCTAAATTTGGTTTAAGGATAAGTAATTTAGTATGCTTTAGGTAAAACATCTATGTCCTACCATATCAACCTATCAATTATATGAATCAACTCATAGCATCACACTGTCCAACTTAATTCCAGTGCACATATAATATCAGTTTTGCATGGTTAAGTTTCAATTAGTCTAGCATGCATCATATAAAGCTAAAATTAATTTGAACTCATTAAATACGATAGTCCTCAACAACGGTGCCAAAAACTTGATTGTTTGATTTCCTGCAAGTGAACGAGATTGTGAACAAGTAATAAAGTGATGAATAGAGTGTCGAACCCACGATGACTATGTATTTAATTAATTGTAACTTAATTGAATAGCAATTAGATTTTGAATTTTCTATACTAATATCTAAATTATCAATTAAACTAATGAAAGTAAGTAAATGTGCTTTACAAATATGTGAGATGTATTGTTAAGATATCGAATTCCCCTTGTTGCTCCATTTTTAATGTAACACTTAAAGTGATAGTTTGAAATCATTTATATTGGTCAATATTTCTAATTTAATTGAAGGCATCTCTCGATAGCGATCAAATCTATTCCCCTCATGTGACCTTTTTATCTCTCGATAAAAGATGCAAACATGATAAATGCATTAATAAGTACTAGAACACCTATTGAAACTATATAAAGCATAGATGTATATATTCATCATCTATCGAACCTTACAATGTTTATTATAATTTGCTTCAACCCTATTGTCTCTCTCGATAAAAATAAAATCCACTAATAATTCAATTGCTAATCAGGCAATTGAAAAGAACGATAAAAACGATAATAAATATCCACAAATCAAATCAAATTAAAGTGAAAATAATTAATTAAAAACTAAAAATATCATAACAAGGGTTCATTTCATCCTAGAAATATATAAAATTACCCTAACATATTGAAATTACAAGAAATCTTATTTAAGTGAAAATACATAACCCGAATTTTCGATAAATTGAGACGATGAAGATGAATAAGAATCTTGAAATCTTGAATCTCTTCAATGGTTTTTTGATGAATCTCCACTTGCGCCTTTTTTTGGTCCAAAAAATAGGTTTGAATCATCACTTGATTGAATTCTTGCAAATTTTCTTCAATTTTCTCACAAAAACTATGAATTCTCCTCATTTGATGATAATAATTGATGAATAATGGAGTATAATATGTACACAAGAGTGTTCTCAATATGTATTATGCTATTA